AGCCAGCAGCAGAACTGACCCGAGGCTATCTGTCTGCAGAGCCCGAATTAGCCCGGTGCAAACACACTGAGGGCGTTTCTGTGCTCCACAACGATTGAGACTTCATCAGGAGCCATTAAGAAGTGTGTCAGGGATGATTGATATCTGTGACACCTCTGGTCTTCAAATCATTCTTGATGCAATAACCATTAAACAGAGTCTTGTGTTGTGGAATAAAGCAGAAGCATGCCATGTATAAAATAATATATGAAAGAATAAATGAATAAAGCATCCATGAGTAGGTAGTCCAACTGATCAACTAACTACAGCATTGATGACCAACCTGAACCAAATAAAACCACTAGTTCTTATCAGAAGACCAGAATGTCCAAAATGAAAGGTCCTTTAGATATTACTCTTCATGTTGGTTTTCGGTGTGTTTCTGGTTTACTGAATCTCATTGTCTTCATCAGTCGTGTGCCAGATGCTTTAAAAGAGGCAGGAAGCGTTGTTATGGATTATGGACTTGTATTTTAGCCGGAAGCAATGGTTTGAAGTTCTTAAGATGGATTAGTTACTTACAGCTTTTGTCTTCTCAAGATGTTAACTGATGGACTGGAGTGGTGTGGATTACTTTATCAGCTCTTTGGACTCTCATTTTGACGGCACCCATTCACATTTCATGGCACTTTGAATGCTGGTGGCTTAATTTAAAGAAACACACCCCAATGTCTTTCGAGGGTCGCAGATCGTGTGGCGTGTGATGCTTTAGCACATTTGTGATGATCCTGAAGGCTTTTGCTGCGGCTGTCAATGACAGATTTGTCAATTTAATTAAAGCCGTGCGCTGTTCATTACTGACCCCATCGATTGATCTCCTGTGTTCCCTTTGCCTCTCTTTCCCCGCACAGGAGCTGCATCTCTCCGGTTCTCTGTGTGGAAAAGTCTTCACATCTAGAGTAAGAGCGGTGGCGGAGGGTTGCTATCGGCCTGTATTTTACACGACTCAAAGGTCCGCCGTGTTTTCCGGCTGCTGATATGAAGACTTTTTTCGCTGTGATCTGCCCTCAGGGAAGGACAAGTAGCATGTGTTGTTCAAAACAGCATCTGCGGCTCGTCTCATTGGCCGATTCCCTTTAAAATGTTGGATTTCCAACAAGCTTAGGGTTAAATCGAGGCGAAATCCTTTAAATGTGTTCATGTGATGCTGACGATGATGTTTCATTGGTGTTTCAGATTGGCGCTTTCACAAATGATGTCTGGTTTTGCATCGGACGGCCAGTGAACGGACTATTTTAATGCAGAAATTGAATTAAGCCTAAATCAAAGAAGCTACAATGACAAAACTGGGAATTTATTTAGCGAAAGCCATTTTTGCTCTAAAAATACCAAAATCATTTCCATTCAAAACTCTAATGTTTTTGTAAGAAGTCTCTTCTGCTCACAAAGGCTGCATTTATTTGATCAAAAATATAGTAAAAATTGTGAAATATTTTTACAATTTAAAACAGCTGTTTTCTATGTGAATATATGCTAAAATGTAATTTATTTCTGTGATCAAAGCTGTATTTTCAGCATCATTACTCCAGTCTTCAGTGTCACATGATCTTCAGAAATCATTATAATATGCTGATTTGCTGCTCAAGAAACATTTCTGATTATTATCAATGCTGAAAACAGTTGTGCTGCACAATATTTCTGTGGAAACTGTGATGCATTTTATTTTCCAGGATTCACAGATGAATAGAAAGTTCAAAAGAACAGCATTTATAGCTTTATAAATGTCTTTACTGTCACCTTTCATCAATTTAATGCATCCCTGCTGAATAAAAATACAAATTTTGTTTCATAAACACACACTAGTTTGATGTTCGTGGCTCTACTGAATAGACAAGTACTCCGGGATTGATTATTAGGACATTTAGTTGTACAGTGAGTAGACTAAAGAATCAATGCAATCACTCAATGCAACACAAACATCATGAGTCCGAATGAGGAGTCTTTTGGAGCTCCATTCACTTACAGAGCTCATCTTCACATTTTGACTAATGCACTGTTTTTCTACTGAACGCTCAGATGAAGATGCATTGACGTGACATACATGTATGTTTAGTTTTCTGCCAAATCAGTGATTTGCTACATTTATGAGTAAACATATCTGATGGAAACTAGTGGTGTTTGATGTGTGAAATGTGTCGCCACTATTCTAGGGCGTTGTGGTTGGTTGCGGTTACTATGCGTCTGCTAAGGCGTCTAAGTGGTTTTTAGCGTTTGCTATGGGGTTGTTAAGATGTTATAGGTGGCAAAAGCATTTGACTCTCATCAACAGTAAGGGATGTCTTTGCAAATTAGTTTTAGATTCTGCAGGCTTTCTCCAGCAGCTCTGCTCTCAGACTAGCGTCATATGTTCCTGTCGTCAGATGGAAACCGGCACTTTGAGACAATGACCGGTGTGGATGCATCAGTCAGATGTTTCCAGATGTTGATAAATAGATTTTGCATGGTTTTATGTTGAGATATATATATAAGGCATGGACTGATACAAAATTTCTCAGCCGATACAGATTATTCAGAATGACATCTGCCGATGCCGATAGTTTAGGTTTCTCAAGGAAAAAAAAATCTCGCAACTAATGCCGTAAACTATACTATATTAGAGGCTAATATTAACAACAAAACTATTATAGACTATGCTATTTATATGCGCATTACAAATAATGTTTCGTGAAGAGAAAACCGATGCATTTATTGGCCGATACATTGGTGCAGAGATTTATATATTGTATATATATATTATTAATATTATTAATTTCCTTTCAATAGAAAGTAATAAAAAGAGTTTTCAATGTATAATCGTGTGACACACAACAATTGGTTCAGTGCTGAAACTTTTGCAGTGTGAATGCTGTTAACCTATTAAAAATGCATCATTTTGTTGAGACACTAGATTTTGACCAGCATTGTTCACACTTGATTCCTGTTGAGCACACAGTGGTGTAAAGTTGTTGTTGTTGGGTGTTATGCTTTAGAAATGCAACAAATGATCCTGTTAAAAGCTGGTTTTGTTTTAGTATTTCCTCATGTGCTGTCAGTCACACGTCAATCTCGTGCGCAGTAAATGTGTGTCACTGGCGTTGCTGTTCACGTGTGAACTCAGCTGTGGGCTGAAATGAAGCTGTATGAAGGGTGAATGAGCAGCAGGTAGTGCTCGGCTGTGACCCGATCAGTGTCTGTGAGCTTTTATCTGCTCAGACGTTTGTCTCTGAGGAGTCTCTTCACACATGGATGCTTATTTTAAAAGCTGGAAGCTCCTGACATGCAGTCGCTGCTGTCCAGTTCCCTTATTCTGGGACCCGGGAGAGTTTATCAGGACTCCCTCGTGAGTCTTATACGTGCTAAAAGAGCTGTGAGACTGTCTGCCCATTTAGTTGAAGTTTTACATGCAAAAGGAAAGTTTCTTCCAAGCGGCAACCTTCCGCTCTCTCTCGTGAAGCCAACACGGAAGTGACTTAAACTGTAATTCGTCAACTGGCCGCTAGAGGCTGGCTGCAAAAGGGAGTCTATGGCGTGGCTTCAGCAACCTGCTCCCGGCTCTTTGCCCATTTTCGATTATCCGGGAGGGACGCGCTGCCAAGATAGCGACTGCCGGCTCCGCCTACATTAGGTTTCAAAAACGCTCTTCGGAAACCTACGGGTGACGTCACGGACACTACGTCCATGTTTTTATACAGTCTATGGTTTCTCCACATCTAGAAAGATTTGCTCCCAGGAAAAAAAAAAAATCTGTTTTTACAATTCAGGGTTATTATCGTTATCTAAAACTAAAACCCTTTCCTTGACTTGAAATAAAATAAACTTTAATTGAAATATTGAAATAAAATATAAGTATAAAAAACAAAAATTTTATTTCAGCAACTTGCCAAAGAAAGATTTCTCATTTCTCTGTTGGAGTTCTATGGAAGCCCGTTTCACCACGGGATAAAACATAAAAATAAAAAAGGTAATTGCAACTTTTTGTCTCACAATTCAGACCTTTTTTGTGTTCATTTTTTCAGAATCCTTAGAAAACTCAGAATTCTAATTTTTACTTGCAATTCTGAGTTCATATCATAACTGAGTTTATGTCTCATAATTCCGAGTTTCTCATAATTCTGTGTTTATGTCAGAATCCCATGTTTATATCTCACAATTCTGAGTTTATATCTCAATTCTGACTTTATATCTCACAATTCTGACTTTATATCTCATAATTCTGAATTTATATCTCAATTCTGAGTTTATATCTCACAATTCTGAGTTTATATCTCACTTCTGAATTTATATCTCACAATTCTGAGAAATTGCAAATTGCGAGAAAAAAAAGAATTGTGCGATAAGTCATTTATATATGCATCATTTATTCATTCATTTATTTAAAGCAAGCTTCCATAGAAATACTGAAGTAAAACTAAATAAACTAAAACCAATAAAGAATTTTAAAAAAATAAAACTAATAATAAAAGCAACATTTCTAAAACAGAAAAATTTACAAATAAACCAATTCAAAATTTTAACAAAAACTATAATAGTACATCAATCATACTAAAGTAACTCTCTTCCAAATGATGTTGTTGTGCATGTTATATAGTGGAGAATCTTCTCTGTTTCTCTGTAACATCCCAGTATTTCTCAGACTGTATAAGTTCTTGCATAATACAGCACGCTCTCTAAAAATTGTGTAGTTTTAGTATATAAGAGGTTTACGGTCAGATTTACCTGTGTTCTCCGTATATCACTTCTCCATTAAACATGCATGGCATTGACATTACAGTCTCTTCAGTTCAGATGAACAAGTTGTGGGCAATTGAAAGTGACAATAGTGTATAGAAAATCAATTAAGCATGTGCATCAGTGTCCAAGCGCCGTGGGGTCGGTCTGTGAGTCAGTCAGTGTGCTCATAATGCTCATGATGACTGTAAGTGAAGCTCCACCTCTCTGCTGGATTAGAACCCAGCCGGAGCCGCTCACATTCAACAGCATTCACACGCATGTGGACAGATCTCACCGCAAACGCCGCAGGCTCAGACAGAGACACACAACGCCGCAGGTAAACGCCGCACTCTCATCTGATCAATTACCAACAATTTATTATTATTATCAATATTATTTATTTATTTATTTAAAACATTATTTTGAGCCCAAAATTGCACTTTATATTAGTCATAAATATATAAATTAACAAAAATAGCCAAATAAAATTTTTTATGACTTGTTAATTTAGGAATAAGTTTTGTGAACAATATGTATTTTTTCATTTATAAGTTTATTTGTTAAAACGTTATTTTAGCCCTAAAATACGACTTTATATTGAACATCAATTACAGAAATTATAATGATTATTTTAGTCATCTGGTGAATTAGTAATACGTTTTGTAGACAGTATTTTTATTCACCGTTTTATTTTTTTTAAAGAATTATTGTGTGCTTAAAATACCAGTTTATATTAGGCATAAATTGATAAAAATAGACATATAATGATTTTAGTCATCTGTTGAATTAGGAATAAGTTCTGTAGACTATATTTTTTTATTTACATTTTTTTTTTTTGTTAAAACATTATTTGGCCTTAAAATATCACTTTATATATGTATAGATAATCTAATATAAAGTGATATTTTAGTGATAAAGTGATCAATTTTAGTCATCTGTTGAATTAAGCACCAAAATTCTGATATTTTTTTATTTAATCTGTCAGAAATAAATCATTGTGAGTTATTGTGAATATTTTCTGCCTCTATTTGTACACTGTACATTTATTCAGTTGAATTAGGAACAAAAATTTTTTACATTATTTTGGTCTTAAAATGGTCACTTTGGCCACTATTTTAGACATTAAGTACAAAAATAGCCATATATTGATTTTAGCCATCATTTTGAACAATTTTAATTGAGTCTGTCAGAAATCAAATCACCATGAGCTTGTTGTGATTATTTTCTGTCTGTGTTTGTATTTACAAAAATGTTGTTTTACATTTATTCTGTTGAATTATGAACAATTTCTGAAGACAATATTTGTTTATTTTCCATTTTATTTGTTAAACCTCATTTCCGCCCCAAAATGACACTTTACACTAGACATGAAGTATAAAAATAAGCATATACAGATTTCAGTCATCATTTGGGATGATTGTAATTTGCTCTGTCATCCTCATGAGCGTGTTGTGTTTGTGTTGGTTTTGGTGACGTCTGTCTGCTGTCGTTCCAGTCTGCGTGAGGCCTTTGGCTTTGCTATTTTAAAAGTCAAGCGATAGGAAAAAAAATTGATTCTAAATAGATCCCACATTTCAACATCGTCAGACCTTTTTGAGCGTCTTCAATCCATTTGGACACTTACTTTTTGAGAGTTTCTGTCCTGAAAGCTAAATGTAGTCTGAGGTCACAGGGAGAATAAAGAAGCCTTTAACGATTGATAAACTTTGTTATTGGGATATATTCAGAGAAACAGCTTAAAATTTGGAGCTTTTGTCTAAATAAAATGTTTTTTTTTTTTAAATAATTATTATTGTTTTGGTTATGCTGAAGTTTTTGGGTTGGCCTCTTAACATCTAATTCTAAAATCTTTGTTTTTACTAATAAAAACACACTTGGCAAGTGTTTGTTCTCTTAAAAACATCATTGCATGAAATCATGCACTCAAATGCTGCAGGATCTTTTCTCAGAACTTTTTGCTCAGTGGTGATGCATAATCATGTATTTTTGAGTATTATGTAATTTTGACATTTTAAGTGTGATTTTTAAGGGCTGCTAGCCATCAACTGAAAGTCATCTTTCAGTGAATCTGCAGACAGAAGCTGTTTTTAAATTCATATTGAACAGCTTTAACTTGCATGACCCTGTTGATGGTCTTGATCATATTAACATTAAATAAATAAATAAAGAGAGATAAATCCTCTTATGGCACCTACACAGAGCATTTAATCACGCTCTCTCGGGTTTAATTACTTCCTTTAATCGTAAGACTCATTGTCTGCATCCAATTTAAATTATTGCAATTTTAAAGCTCTCCTGCACAACATAAAGTATGTCATTTTATGGATAGTGAAATAGTGTCTCATAACTTAATATTCAGTACTGTGTTTTCATAAACGCTTCAGTGTAACGTCACTCAGATTTGAAGACATGTTCGTTACTGGGAACTAATCAATAATCAGAGCCGCAGGACGCTTTATCAGCTATATAGTGAAATATAGAAATATTAAATATCTGTAAAAACTGGGGGGTGTTTACAGATATTTATGTAATTTAATTAGTTTATTTTTATTTTCATTTTTTTTGTTTTTGTTTGTGGTTGCAAGTACATTTTGTGTACAGTATATCTATAAATAAACCTGGGGAAAATCTATATTGAATAAATTGATTTTGTTTTTTTGGACCATGACAAAAAATTTATTAATTAATAAAAGTGTGCAGTAGGAAAAAAAAAAAATTATACTTTGAAACTAAACAAAACAGGGTCCTTCCCTGCTTTAGTCTAGCAGCTCATTCAGATATTGATTACAAATATTTTTCATAATTTCCTAATCATTTCAAAAGCAAACATTGATTAATTGTTTGTTTGTTTTAATTCTCTTTTTGTCATGCAAAGCAATTGAGCTGTTTACATGTTTGTATTTCCCCTCTGCACTATAAAAATGTGATTATTCAAGTACGTTTTACAAGTTTTATGCATTTTATACTATTTCAGTCTTTATACTTTGAAATTTCGTGTTTAATTCAATGTGTTACTTGCATTTCTTAAAAATTATTTGTGAAATTTACTAGCGATTTCTGAGTATGTTTCAAGTAAATCCTACACCAAAACTTTTCCATGGTGTGGTCAGCACTAA